CAGGAAAGCCTACTTGAAGCTGCTATTAACTTACTGTTACAAATTTCTTTTCATGAAGGGTTAGCAAGTTCTTGTACCTGTAGACCCTCTAACTAAAATTCTAGTATGTTTTCTTTCTTTTTTGTCTCCTACAAAACAATTCCAATTGGAAAATAGTGACATAATTTAAAGATCCATTCTTTGACTGCTGTTCCTTAGATCCTGGGGAACACTGGGTCCAGTGTGAGCATTGTTTTCCTTTTCATAGTGATGCAGGAACACGGGTGTGGGGGTGATCAAGCCCAGCACCTGCACCGGGATATGTGTTCTTATCTCCCACTCACAAAGAATTGGAGAGACAAGGCTTCATGTCACTTTATCCAAATTGGGAGATCCCACCAAATAAATGTTCTGTACAAACAGCAGTCAGGTATCTAAGGTGAAAGATAGGCCTTGGTGTCATCATATCCGAGTATAGTAACTTACCACCTGTCTGTCATTCAATCCAATTCCTCGTATCCTTCACCACGAAATTGAAAATGTCATGGGCCAACAGCTCTGAGTCAGTTGGTGGCCAGTCACCTGGGACAGTCCCTGAAACAATGTCCACAGGCAGCTGCAGGACTGATTTTAAGACAGACCATGGGCCAAGTGCCACTGTACCTTGGGTGAGACTCCCACACAGGACCTTGTCCCAGTGCGGCTCTCCAGTAAATTGTTATCTGAACTCAAGACAGGTCCACTCATTCAAGTGCCACAAACTAAACTGTAGGCACAAAGTGTGATGAGGGAGAATACAACTTTATTGCTGTGAGCAAAGCAAGGGAAGCAGGCAGCTCGTATTGAAAAGGCTCCACCTCCCCAAGGAGTTCCCTACATGCATTTTTTTAAAGTTTTATTATTATTTTTAAAATTTGCTATAGGGCACATATACTTGAGAGAGAGAAAGAAAACCAGCAAGTTGCCAAGTCCAGGACTTGAACTGAAGTTGGCCACGTGGGAATCCATGGACTTAACCATCATGACACCTGATGACCCCTCCCCACATGTATTTTTTTAAAAATAATTATTTACTTTTATTCATTTATTTTAATTTGACCAGAGACATGCCCTCCCTCCCCTACACACACACACACACACACACACACACACCCACCCACACACACAGAGCGTGCACACGTGTGAGAGAAAGTGAAAAAGCAAGCCACCAGGTCTGGGATTCGAACCGTGGCCAACAATGTGGGAGTGTCCAGCGCTTTAACTACCACACCACCTGCTGGTCCTCCCACATGTATATATAAGGGCAGAATTAAAGGTAAGGGTTCCCGGCTCATGATCAGTTCAGTGATTGGTTTAAGAAGGCATGCTCATCTCCAGGGTCTCCTTATTTGGGAAAACCTCAGATAATCAAATTTCTATTCTGGAAGAGAGCAATCATCAGGTTTCTGGCCCACGATTGAGCCTGGATTCTATGTACTCAGAGCCAGCACTTTCCATTCTGCAAAGCATCTTAAGAATTGAAGTTAAACCATATCTTTAAGAGAGAAGTTTAGAAGTCTTTTGGCCCTCATTCGTGGCCAGTGTGTTTGATTACCATAACCAGAGTCTGAAGTGTTACCCCTTACTTTGGGCCATTACAGTGTAAGTGAACTTTGCATTCTAGGCCCCTTAGAAGGACTTTAATTTTTAAAAAAATTTTTAAGGTTTTTGCCATAGGGTCTGTGAGCCTACAGGAGAGATAGTGAGAGGAAAGGTGAGAAATCACCCTTTTTCTGAGGGTATAGCTAATACTATAATCCCTTCTTCGTTCTCCTGGTATTTTAGGCATCTCTGCATGCATGTGAGTTTATTGTTAGGTCTAGGACTCGAACCACAGTCAGCCAAGTGGGAATCCAGTGCCTTAATCATCATGCCACCTGCTGGCCCCTTAACCATTTTACTTTTAGTTCAGCCCTTACTAATTTTCAGTTTGGGGAATTGCCGTTTTCTTTTTTCCAACAGAAGCAGCAGCTGAGGACCTAGCCCTTTCGGCTTTTAGGGGTTGGTCCCTTTTCAGTTTCAGTGTTAACTACTTTTAGTAGTCAGTTTTGAAAACCTGAACCATTTAAGTAAACTCTTAAGAGACTAAACTGAGATAAAACAATTAAGTTTGATATATTTCAGAGTATGTTTGGGTGCACTTGACCATGAACACCAATTGAATGTTTTTAGTTGAAGGTGTGATATAATCAGAATGTTTCAGAAAGAGGAATATTAGTTTGTATTTTAGAAATTGTTCATGTGTTGCCTGAGGTGGGATGTAAACATTTACATCTTTACCAGGGATCTTTAAACCCTCAATTCAGTTCTTTCCCCACCATTTTTTTTCTGAAAATTTTCTTAACAAAATCAGAAGACTCATACAATGAATATCTACATATCTACCACTTAGTTGCTATAGTCCCTTATATTTTATTGTTACCATTTTTTAAAAATGTGAATGAGGTATTTTTATGGGAGTCTTACCTTTATTTGTTCCACCACAACTGAACCTTTGAGTTGTTTTGAGAAGAATTACAGATTGAAGGAATCTGCTAAGAAGTGAACCCTTCATTTTTGTAGCCATCTCAGTGCCTTCATTCACTGAGGAAGTTTCTGACAATGGTGCTCCTGTATAGTGTATTGATGTAGTGTTCTGAGGGAGTCTTCAAAAAAAATTAGTGGAAAATGCATATTACAAAAAAAAAAATCTATTAATGGAAAGGACCAGCAGGTGGTGTAGTTATTAAGGCACTAGATTCCCACATGGTCAACTGTGCTTCAAGTTCCTGTGGCTAGAAACTTGCTGGGTGCATGTGCATGCCCCTAGTCCCCAGAGGAGAATAATGGGTAAGGGATTGTGTTGTAGCTATCCCCCCAGGAGATGATTTCTCTATTTCTTTTTCTCTTTCTCTGGCAAGCGCATATGCCTCACAACAAAAATCTCTTAACAACAGCAACATCAACTACCAGCAGTTAGCATAATGTAATGGCTATGTTGCTGAACTCCCAAGTGGTCGACTGTGGTTCGAGTCCTGGACCAGGTGGCTTAAACTCATGCTGGGCGCGTGTGCATGCGTGCCCAAGATCCCGAGAGGAGGATGGAGGAGAAGGGATTGCGGCATGGCCATCCCCCCCAGAGGGGTGACTTCTTGCTTTCTGTCTCTCTGTCTCTCTCTGTCATTCCGGCGAGCGCATGCGCACTATAGCAAAAACCTCTCCGGAAAAAAAACAAACAAACAACAACAACAACAAAAAAAACTATGCATGGATTTCAGTATTTTTTTTTCCACCAAATTAAGCTTGTACTTTAATGCCATTTTTCCACAGACGTTTTAAGTCCCTTTCTGTACAGTGGATAACCTTTTGAATCAATTGAATGAGGTTCCTCCTTTAGTCTGAATTTGAAGTATTTCACCTAATTTCTCCAGTCATTCTTTTTTTCTTTTTTTTTTTAAGAGTTATTTAACTTTATTTGTTTTTGACCAGAGAGGGACAGAGTGAGTGAGAGAGAGCACGCACGTGAGTGAGCGAGCGAGAGAGATAGCAAGTTGCCAGGTCTGGGACTCAAACCCTGGTCGGCCCTGTGGAAGTCCAGCACCTTCACCAACTACACCACCTGCCAGCCTTCTCCAGTTATTCTTAAAAGTTAAGCTGGGTTGGAACCAGCAGATGGCATAATGGTTATGTTGCTGAACTCCCATGTAGTTGACAGGGATTTGAATCCCGGAACCTGGCAACTTAAAACTCATGCTGGGTGTGTGTGCATGCATGCCCAAGACCCTGAGGAGAATGGAGGAGAAGGGACTGTAGCATGGCCATCCACTCCTTTACCCCTATGAGGTGATTTCTCGTTTTCTGTCTCTCTGTCTTTCACTGCCTTTCTGGTGAGCGCATGCGCCCTAGAGCAAAAAAACTGTCCAAAAAAAATTGCCTTTCTAAGGGAACCATCAGTTAGCGTAATGGCTATGTCGCTGGACTACCACATAGTCGACCGCAGACCCCTGAGGTGTAATTTCTTGCCTTCTATCTTTGCTCTCTTTCTCTGTCTTCTCTGGCGAGGACATGTCCCTATAGCAAAAATCTCTCACAAAAGAAAAAAGAAGTTGGGCCTTTTAAAATCTGTTAGGTTTTCTGTTTTTCATTTTTTTTTTTTTTTCTTTTTGAAGAGATGTTTTGCTGTAGTGCATGTGTGCTCGCCCCAAGGACAGAAAGAAACTGAGAAATCACTCCCCAGGGGGGATGGCCAGGCCACAATCCTTTCTCCTCCATTCTCCTCTCAGGATCTTGGGCATGCATACACACACGCCCGGTGTGAGTTTAAGCCACTGGGTCCAGGACTCGAACCGCAGTTGACTACGTATGAGTCCAGTGACATAGCCATTATGCCAACTGCTGGTCCTGGCTTTCTGTTATGTTTAGTAAGTCAGTTGGTAAAAGTTGCCATCTTTTGCAAATTTGTAAGTCAGGACTTTTTTGGTATATTTAAAAAATATGATTAAGACCTTAGAAGGAATTTTAATCTTGGCGTGTAAAAGTCACTGACAGGGGCCAGCAGGTGATAATGGTGGTTAAGGTGCTGTACTCCCATATGGTCGACCATGGTTTGAGTCCTGGACCTGGTGGCTGGAAAATCATGCTGCGCATGTGTGCCTACATGTTCAAAATCCTAAGAGGAGGCTAGAGGAGAAGGGATTGCAGCATGGCCATCTTCCTGGGGGGGGTAAGGAGGGGGAGTGATTTTTTGTTTTTCCTCTCTGGAGAGTGCACATGTCCTGTGGCAAAAACCTTTGAAAAAATTAAAAGTCACTGCCATGAAATCTCTTTATGAAGTATAGCTTGCATTTATTTATATTTAGCTTTTAATACTAACTTTTTATAAAATAATTTATATAGTTTATTAGGTGCTAATTACCAGTTTAATTTCAAGTTAATGATCAACTTTCTGGTTGTAAAATATGTAATATTCACTTAACTGTTCTGCATGTTTTTCTTTTCTTCAGATTCTACTCTGCTATTCAAGTAATGGTCATTATGATTCTGTGTACTCAAAGCAGTTTCAGTCAAGTGCAGCTGTTTGTCAGGGTATGCAAAGGTTTTATAAATATTTGGGTATGATTCAGGTGATTTGTTGCCCTTCTTTAAATTGAAGGTCCCACCATAAACAGCACTTTTTAAACATTATTGGTAAATTTTGAATTTGCATGCAGGGTTATGGCTCTTCAGATTAAAAAAAATCTTTTTGGAGAAGACAGGTGGTGTGGTGGTTAAGACGCTGGACTCCCACATGGCTGACCATGGTTTGAGTCCTGAATCTGGTGGATTGCATTCTCACTTTCCCTCTCTGTCTCTCTCTCTGTCTCTCTGTCCAAATTAAAATAAATAAAATTAATTAAATCTTTTAAAAATTGCATTTTGATAATTGGAGTTTTGACTGTTTTTCTTTCAGCTGTATTATATGAAATTCTCTATAAAGATGTGTTTGTTGTGGATGAAGACGATTTAAAAACTGCAGTTGAATTGTTTCGAAGTGGTTCCAAGAAGAACAGGAGCAATGCTGTTACTGGAAGTGAGGATACCCAGACTGATTACAAGAGTTCAACTCAGGATAGGTAATGATGGGAAAGGGGCTGCCACTATATGATAATCACGTTTCAGGTATCTGTGTATCATTATTTTAAAATGGAAGGGGCCTGGCAAGCTTATGACTTAGATGATATAAACACACATGTAGGTATGTATGTTAGGGATATACGTTTTTTAATGGAGAGAAAGAAATTTTAACAAAAGGATATGTTCTCTTGTGAGGTACTCAGACTTCAGGGATTCTGTTCAAATCAGTTTGTTTCTTATTGCCAGAAGAGACTTTAGAGCTTTCTAATAACTGTGATTATCAAACTTTAGTAGTGTATGAATTAATTCAGTGCTTGTTAGACAGATTCCTGGGCCTATCTTCACAAAATCTGAGGTCAAGACTCTGCTTTTTCTTTTTTAGAGATTTTTGCTATAGGGCACATGTACTAGCCAGGGAGACAGAGACAGACAGTGAGACATACCCTCCCCAGGGGAGGAAGCTGCCACAATCCCTTCTCCAGTCTTCCCTTGGGATTTTGGGCATGCATGCACATGAGCCCAGTGTGAGTTTCAAGCCACCATAGTCAGCCATATGGGAGTCCAGCAATGTAACCATTATGCCATCTACTGGTCCCAAGGACCTACTTTTTTAAACAAGTATACCCAAATATTCTGATGTACATAGTCTGTACTATACTTTGAGAAAAAACTGATTCTAAATCAGCACCACCATTTTGTAGATGATAACTGCGGTTGGGTGGTTACTTGACATACCATCCAGCTAGTAGAAAACCTGTCAGGCTAATAGGAATTTCAGCTTTTCAGTGCCTGCCTTTGTGTTACAGTAGGAGTGCACATTGTGTGTCTTTGAAGAATCAGCTATTATTGAATACATATAGGTCAAAACTTTGGTTTTGAAACAGTAAAGTTGATGTTATCTTATATTTCTTCCTGATTCCTACTTCTGTCTGAAAATTCAGATAGGTTTGGTGCCAGTTTGGTGCCACTCCTTGTTTTTGTCTTGAAGTTCTATTTCTTGGATATTTAATGCTTGCACTTTTCTTTTTCTTTTTTTCTTTGTAAAACAGACATTTTTAAAGTTTGTTTCAGACTCCAAGGGGTTCCAACCATATATCAGGGTAAAAGTTGCTTCGTTCCTCACTGATTACTTGTCTTAATGCCTTCAGGCTTATGGAAATTGTAGTAGTAGAAAGACAAGATGTATTAGTTACCTATTGTTACATAACAATATTATCACAAACTTGGCAGCTTAAAACAATATATTTATCTTGCAATGGGTGTAGGTTAGGAATCTGGGCATGGCTCAGTTTGATCTTCTGTGGACGATCTTAAAAGACAAAGCAAGTGTTGGCTAGGACAAAGTTCTTACCTGGAGGTTTGAATAGTTTGGGATCCACTTCTCCACCCATGATTCTTGGCAACATTCAGTTCCTTCCAACTGTAGGACTCAGATCTTTAGTTTGTTGCTTGTAGTTAGAGGAAATCCTCTGTTCCTTGCCATGCTGGGTTGGTGAACATGGCTGCTTGCTTCCTTGATGGCAGCAGGGGAAGAGAGAGAAACCAATAAAACAGGTGCTACATTGTTATCTAGTGTAATCACGTAAGTCCTGTCTGTTGGTTAGAAGCAAACTGAAGGAGAGCAGAAAACACAAGGGTATGAATGCCAGGAGGCTGGGATCATAGGTACCATCTTAAGAGTCTGTTCTCCCAGAAGGTATGACCTTTATGGAGGCAATCTTAAATAATTGTAGCACATACTTAGGGAAGTATAAATACAAGCATTGGGGAGAAAATACTTGCCTCATTTTGAGATATGAGCTACGATACCACTAGGTGGTGGTATAGTCACTAGACTTAAGTAACTGTACATTGATGTGTAACTCTTTGCTCCACATATTTTCAATTAGGGCTGAAGAGTGGAGTAACTGTTGCAATGTTGAAAATATACCAGAAGGCTGCAATCAAGGTGCAGGAGAAACAAAGGTTTGATATTTTCTAAGGCAAAAAAATTTATATTCTTCGCTTACAGTATCATAACTTAAACTAGTTGAGGTCTAATGGGCCCTTTATACTTACATGGACAGGGAAGGAGTTGATCGTGTTTTCCATCTCCCTATTGTATTCTTTTTAAAGAAACAAGGTGATAATGCTAGTCTGTTAAAATTGGAAAAACAGGAGAAATTTATGCATTTGTATAAGCCTAAAATCAAACAGACCTTAAGTCTGAGGCTAGTTAAAAAGGCAGCTACTATTAAAGCAATGTCTGTGTATGCCTCAAGTGCTGGTAATTTTGAAATAATATTGAATAGAGTGAAATATTAGGAAAGCAGAAGAAACATGGTATATTTCTTTGGATATTCTAATGGAATTTGACCAACATAAACTTCAGTTATTTCTAGGTGATTTTAGGGTATAGAAGCACTACACTTTCATGTATTTATCAAGGTATATCACTTGTTGAATAGCTCTCACTGAATTTTTAATCCTAGTCTGTGTTGTGTTGGTTTGTATAAGATTGTCCAAAGTTATTGGCTGCCCTACACAATATTTCCTTCTGCCGTCTACACTAGTCTCTGTTTTTTTAAAATGCATGATAAAATTACTATTTTTAAATTTCTTATTTTAATAAAGAACAAGCGACCTATGTACACAGTTTTTTAAAAAGAAGGAAGAAAAGAATCTTAATTTTTCTTCCTTTCAAAAGAAGTCTTAACCTAAGGATGATGAATTTGTAGCTTGATTATTTTTGTTTTAGTCTGCAGAAAACCCATCCAAGATGCTCTTCCCCTATAAGGTGCTAAAAGCCCTTGATCCAGAAATCTATCGTAATGTAGAATTCGATGTTTGGTTGGACAGCAGAAAAGGTAATGTATATCAACAGAATACTTTATTTGATTGCCAAAGGGCATATGCATGTGCTAGTGGGTTGAAGGGAAGAAAGCCCCTTCCAGTGGGATGTGGTCATGTCACCACCCCTTCTCCATTTCTCCTTCTCGTTGGAACAGGATACTTTTTAATCCTGACACTTGTTTCTTTATTTTTTAAAAAAATTTATTTTAGTTATTATTATCATTATTACTTTTAATTTGACAGAGAGAGACAGAGAGAGAAAGGGAAAGCATGAAAATTAAGCTGGCAGGTCCAAGACTTGAACTGTGATCAGCCATGTGGAAGTCCAACACCCCAACCATCATGCTTCCTGCCAGCCCCGATACTTGTTTCTTATATTTTCAACATATTGTTATAAAAAATAGCTTGGTTTTTATTTTGTTTTGTCTTAATTTTTTGCTATAGGGTGCTATACTTGCCAGAGAGAGAGAGAGAAAGAAATCACCCCCTCCCCCAGGGGAATGGCCACACCAAAATCCCTTCTTCTGTTTCCCAGGATTTGAGGCATGCATGCACATGCACCCAGCATGATTTTTAAGCTGTCAGGTCTGGGATTTGAAACATGCTGTTAGCCATGTGGGATCCAGTGCCACACTGTTTGCTGGCCCCAGTCTGGTATATTTATCTTATTCCATATATGATTTAAATCTGAATGAGGAAACAAGTAGGTTTAGTAATGGAGAGGGATCTTTTAGAGTTTAATGTTTACCAGGGACTTTGACTTTGCAAAGACTGTGAGGAGATAGATAATTTTAAGAGTACCAGCAGCTTTCAAGGACTGGAAACAAATTATTTTTAAATTTAAAGTGATTAAACTTCCCTCATTGATAACTGAATAGGTCAAGTTCTTGAGTCAAATCTGATTTCATCGCTTTTTTTGTGTGTGGTCCATGAGCTAAGAATGATCTGAACTTTGTTTTAGTAACCAGAGTGCATGCACTTGCCAGAGAGTGACAGGGAGAAGAGGTAAAAGGAAGCACTCCCAGTAGGACATGGTCATGCTGTAATCCACTCTGCATTACGGTATCCTGTGGAATTTGGGGCATGTGCACACATGTGTCCAGCATGTTTTTTAAGTTGCCATGGTCAGGATTTGAACCATGGTTGGCCATGTGGGATTTGGGGCCCTTAACCACTAAGCTATAGAGCTAGCCTGGTTTGTATTTTTTTTTTTTTTTAAGTTTTTGCCATAGGATACGTACACTTGCCAGAGAGAGACAGAGAGAAAGTGAGAAATCACCCCTTAGTGGGGATGACCTTGCCACAATCTCTTCTTTTCCATTCTCCTTTTAGGATTTTTGGCATGCATGCATGTACACCCCATGTGATTTTCTTTCTCTTTTTAAAAAAATATATTTTAGAGGTTTTTACCTTAGGGTACATGTACTCACCAGAGAGAGACATCGACATGGAGAGGGAAAGTGAGAAATATCCCCCCTCACCCCCCCAGGGAATATGGCCATGTTGTAATCTCTTTTCCTCCATTCTCCTCCCGGGATCCTGGGCACACATGCACCCAGCTTGGTTTTGAAGCCACCAGGTCTGGGCCTCGAACTGCAGTCAGCCATGTGGGAGTCTGGCAATGTACCCGCTATGCCATCTACTGGTCAACCCCATGTGATTTTCAAGCTGCTTATCTGGGATTTGAACTGTGATTAGCCAAGTGGGAATCCAATGCCTAAACCATCCTGCCACCTGCTGACCCCAGTAGATGCCTTTTTTTGTTTTGTTTTAATTTCCTATAAGGTGCATGTACTCAGCAGTGAGAGAGGAAGAAAGCCCCTTCCAGTGGGATGTGGTCATGTCACCACCCCTTCTCCATTTCTCCTTCTCGTTGGAACAGGATACTTTTTAATCCTGACACTTGTTTCTTTATTTTTTAAAAAAATTTATTTTAGTTATTATTATCATTATTACTTTTAATTTGACAGAGAGAGACAGAGAGAGAAAGGGAAAGCATGAAAATTAAGCTGGCAGGTCCAAGACTTGAACTGTGATCAGCCATGTGGAAGTCCAACACCCCAACCATCATGCTTCCTGCCAGCCCCGATACTTGTTTCTTATATTTTCAACATATTGTTATAAAAAACAGCCTGGTTTTTATTTTGTTTTGTCTTAATTTTTTGCTATAGGGTGCTATACTTGCCAGAGAGAGAGAGAGAAAGAAATCACCCCCTCCCCCAGGGGAATGGCCACACCAAAATCCCTTCTTCTGTTTCCCAGGATTTGAGGCATGCATGCACATGCACCCAGCATGATTTTTAAGCTGTCAGGTCTGGGATTTGAAACATGCTGTTAGCCATGTGGGATCCAGTGCCACACTGTTTGCTGGCCCCAGTCTGGTATATTTATCTTATTCCATATATGATTTAAATCTGAATGAGGAAACAAGTAGGTTTAGTAATGGAGAGGGATCTTTTAGAGTTTAATGTTTACCAGGGACTTTGACTTTGCAAAGACTGTGAGGAGATAGATAATTTTAAGAGTACCAGCAGCTTTCAAGGACTGGAAACAAATTATTTTTAAATTTAAAGTGATTAAACTTCCCTCATTGATAACTGAATAGGTCAAGTTCTTGAGTCAAATCTGATTTCATCGCTTTTTTTGTGTGTGGTCCATGAGCTAAGAATGATCTGAACTTTGTTTTAGTAACCAGAGTGCATGCACTTGCCAGAGAGTGACAGGGAGAAGAGGGAAAAGGAAGCACTCCCAGTAGGACATGGTCATGCTGTAATCCACTCTGCATTACGGTATCCTGTGGAATTTGGGGCATGTGCACACATGTGTCCAGCATGTTTTTTAAGTTGCCATGGTCAGGATTTGAACCATGGTTGGCCATGTGGGATTTGGGGCCCTTAACCACTAAGCTATAGAGCTAGCCTGGTTTGTATTTTTTTTTTTTTTTAAGTTTTTGCCATAGGATACGTACACTTGCCAGAGAGAGACAGAGAGAAAGTGAGAAATCACCCCTTAGTGGGGATGACCTTGCCACAATCTCTTCTTTTCCATTCTCCTTTTAGGATTTTTGGCATGCATGCATGTACACCCCATGTGATTTTCTTTCTCTTTTTAAAAAAATATATTTTAGAGGTTTTTACCTTAGGGTACATGTACTCACCAGAGAGAGACATCGACATGGAGAGGGAAAGTGAGAAATATCCCCCCTCACCCCCCCAGGGAATATGGCCATGTTGTAATCTCTTTTCCTCCATTCTCCTCCCGGGATCCTGGGCACACATGCACCCAGCTTGGTTTTGAAGCCACCAGGTCTGGGCCTCGAACTGCAGTCAGCCATGTGGGAGTCTGGCAATGTACCCGCTATGCCATCTACTGGTCAACCCCATGTGATTTTCAAGCTGCTTATCTGGGATTTGAACTGTGATTAGCCAAGTGGGAATCCAATGCCTAAACCATCCTGCCACCTGCTGACCCCAGTAGATGCCTTTTTTTGTTTTGTTTTAATTTCCTATAAGGTGCATGTACTCAGCAGTGAGAGACAGAGAAAGTGAGAAAGCATGCCACCAGATCTGGGACTTGAACTAGGATTGGTCATGTGGGAATCCAGTACCTTAATCACCATACCACCTCCTGCTCCCCCAGTATATACTATTTTTACTACTTATTTAATTTTGTTCATTATTATTATTTTTAATTTGATCAGAGAGAGAGTGAGAAAGCAAGCTGCCGGGTCCAGGACTAAAACCACATTCAGCCACGTGGAAGTTCAGTGCCTCAACTACCACGCCACCTGCTGACCTCTGTACTTTTTTTTTTTTTTTTTGTTAGAGAGATTTTTGCTTTAAGGGTGCATGCACTCACCCCAAAGACAGAAAGAGAAAGAAAGCGAGAAATCATTCCTCCCGAGGGGATGGCCACATTGCAATCCCTTCTCATCCATTCTCCTCTCGGGATCTTGGGTATGCTCATGTGCCAGGTGTGAGTTTGAAGCTACCAGGTCTGATACTTGAACTGAAGTCGACTAAATAGGAGTTCAGCAACATAACCATTATACCATCTATTGGTCCCAAATAATTGTTTACTTAATTTTATTTAACATTTTTTAATTTGATCAGAAAGCTAGAGAGAGAGAGAGAGACAGACAGACAGACAGAGAGGAGAGTGAAAAAGCAATCTATCAGCACTAGGAATCAAACCACAGTCGGCCATGTGGGAGTCAAGTATCTTAACTACTATGCCGTCAACTGGTCCCTTACATTTTTGAACAGAAGAAAAAAAATTAAACAGTATGTTGTGAGGCTGACAGGTGGTGTGGTGGTTAAGGTGTTGGGCTCCCATATGGCTAACTGGTTCAAGTCCTAGACCTGGAGGCTTGCTTTCTCACTTTCTCTTTTTCCTCTCTCTGGTCAAATTAAAAAAATAATAAAAATGGAATTAAATAATTCTTTAAAATGTGAATAAATATGTATTGTGATACCTGAATAGTGTATAAAATTCAAATTTTAGTGTTAAAGTTTTTGAAAACATAATTATTCAACTGGGGATCAGCAGATGGCATAATGGTTATGTCTTTGGGCTTGCAGGTAGTCGACTGGGGTTCAAGTCCTGGACCTGGTGGTTTAAAACTCATGCTGGGTGTGTGTGTATGCTTGCCCAAAATCCTGAGAGGAAAATGGAGGAGAAGGAATTGTGGTGTGGCCATCCCCTCTGGGGCAGGGGTGGGGGGGACAATTTCTCTCTTTCTGACTCTCTGTTTCTTTCTGTCTCTCCAGTGAGCACATACACCCTAGCAAAAACCTCTCTACCAAGAGGAAATAATTATTCAATTGTATTTATGTTATCATCATTATTTTAGTTTGTTATAGGACACATATGCTCACCAGAGAGAGAGACAGCAAGGGAAAAGGAGAAAGCAATCCACCAGGTCTGGAGGTGGGAAGGGGGGTGGGTAGGAGAGAGAGGCAGGGAAAGGTAAAGTGAGAAAGCAAATTGCCAGATCTGGGACTCAAATCACTGTTGGCCATGTGGGAGTCCAGTGCTTTAACTACCATGATACTGGCCCAGTGTTAATAAAGTTATTTAGCAGAGTTCAGTAGTTCTGAAGTGTCTATGTGGCCCATGAAACCTAAAATATTTACTGTCTGACTCTTTACAGAAAAAGTTTACCAATCCTTGAAATAGGTAATTTTTTCCTTTTTCCCTTATTAAGGGAACTAAATTGATCAAAGTAGATCTTAAAAGTTCTGCCTTCAAGATAAGCATTTAATGGGGCCAGCCAGTGGCATGATAGTTTAAGAGTCTGGATCCCAGCTGACCAACAGCACCGGGCACATGTGCCTGTGTGCCCAAAATCCTGACAGGAGAGTAGAGGAGAAGGGATTGTGGTGTCCATCCTCCCCGGGGTGTGCTTTCTCACTCTGCCTGTTTGCCTATCTGTCTGTCTCTCCATCTCTGTCTTTAGCCAGTATTTGCCCTATAGCAAACAAACAAAAGTGTTAAAGTCTTTAATGTTTCACATTCAGTTCTTTGATTCTCTGAGAACATAGGTGTAAAGTTAATCTGGATTGAGTTTAAGACCTTTAATAACACAGTAGATTAAATAAAAATATTCTGCTTTGAAGAAGCTACATATTGTTACTTTCAGATTGTAATTTATAAATGTTTTGCCAACTCTAAGATTAAAAACTACCAATTCCTACTTACCTATTTGTGGTTTCTGGTTTGTTTATTTTTTAGATTTTTGCCATAGAATACGTGTGCTCACTGGAGAAAGTGAGAAATTGCCCTTCCAGGAGGGATGGCCACGCCACAGTCCCTTCTTCTCCACTCTCCTGGGATTTTGGGCACACTTGCACATGTGCCTGGCATGAGTCTCAAGCTGTCAGGTCCAGAACTCCAAGCGTGGTCAGCCATGTGGGAATCCAGTGCCTCAGCCATCATGCCATTTGCTGGCCTCCTACCTATTTGTGTTTTAAAGCACAAGATTATTCTAGCAGGTTTCTTTAAGTTGACCACAGAAATAACCCATCGGGAGTGACAGAATCATCTTTTAAGATTCTTCCACCAGATTTTAACTTACAGTGGTGGAATTGTTAAGACAATGTAAAAGTTAATTAGGAAAGGGCCGACAGGTGGCATGGTGGTTGGGGCACTGCACTCCTACATGGGCAACTGTGGTTCAAGTCTTGGACCTGGTGGCTTGCTTTCTCACCTTCCCTTTTTCTCTCTCTCTGGTCAAATTAAAAAATAATAACAACAACATAAATAAGTAAATCTTTAAAAAACTTAATTAGAATATAAAATGATGGACAGCAGGACAAAAATCCAATTCACTTGAGCTTGAATTTTCATTTTCTTTTAATAGAACTTCAGAAATCTAATTACATGGAGTATGCTGGGAGACAGTACTACTTGGGAGACAAGTGTCAGGTTAGTTCCTTCTTTAAAGAGTCAATGATTTGTTTTACCAAGATTGTGCTTCTAGTCATTAATATGAATTGAACAAGACTTATTTAGAAAATACTAGAAAAAAATTTTAAGGTACATGTCAAACTTTTGTGTTCAGATGTAAGGCTTTTTCAGTATGTGTGACCTCTATTGTCCCATACTGTTAATGTTAATATCAGTTTCTTTAAAAAGTAGATACAGAACTCCATTTGAGGCAAAATGGTCTTTTTGTATTGACAGATAGTCTTAAGTCTATCTGTCAATAGACTTAAGACTAAAAATAATCTTCTTTTCTTTCAGGTTCGCTTGGAATCAGGTGGAAGGTATTATAATGCTCATATTCAGGAAGTTGGAAATGAAAACAATTCAGTAACAGTCTTCATAGAAGAACTAGCAGAAAAGTATGAATATAATTTGTTGAATTACTGAAATCTTTGGCTCTTAATTTCTTTTTGAAATAATTGAGAATTACAAAGATGATAATAAGAAAACCAGTTATGTAGGTACTGGTCTAAGATGACTTATCTCAAATTGTAAAAGCAAGTTCTGAAGTACGAAATCTCAACACAGGTCTGACTTATGAATAAAAGTTTTCAAAACTCTAGGACCTGGGTAACTTATTAGAAATACTAAATATAATAGAATTTTGATACAAAACCCATTTTTAGTCATTGGAAAGATGGTTTGCTAACTGAGCCTGTGGCAATATCAAAATAAGCTAGTCCAGTTCTTTTCAAACTTTATCATGCCCCAGAATTATCTAGAGGACTTAGGGAAACACAGATTGTTGAGCTCATTCCCCTGAGTTTTTGAATCATTAAATCTAGGTAGGTTAGGCCCACGAATTTGTTTCCAGGTGATGCTAATGCTATTGGTTCACTTTGAGAACCATAAAACTAGGCTGTACTTCCCTAATAACCAAAAAAAATTTAAAAATAAAAAATCCCACCATCTTATAGCAGTGAAGTTAATTTCTTGCTTATTTAGCAGTCTACAACGATGTCAGCAAAGGGAACCCAGGTCAACATAGGCTCTATTTTGACACACACACACTTGTGATGACAGGCAGGGAAAAAATGAGAACACAATAAACCACTTGCTGGTTCTTAAAACATCTCACATTCTCTTGGCTAAAATGGTTTATATAGCCAAGCCTGATGTCAATAGGGTGGGAAAATTTAATCCATTTCTAAGAAGGGACAATCAAATATTTGTGAACTAATACAGTCCAACACAGTCTTTCTTCTGGAATGTGATAGGTATTGTAAACAAGTGAAATTGTACAGACTTCCTCTAGGTTTTCTAATCTAAAAGAAAAAAAAAACAAGACAGAGAAGCTAGTGTCAATAGGTAAATAGAATATACTTGAAAATGAAGCAAGTGGGGTGGGAGTATGTGTTTTGAATGAGAGTTAATTCTGTGTTGCAGTGTTTTCATGATGGTACCTTTAACTTTAGGCATGTTGTTCCACTGGCTAACTTAAAACCAGTTACCCAAGTGACACCTGTTCCTGCCTGGAATGCTATGCCCAGTCGTAAAGGAAGAGGTTACCAGAAAATCCCTGGGGGTTGTGTCCCAGAAATGGGTTCGTATGCCAAAGGTTTTTATTCTTTTTCCCTTCCCGTAACCCTATTTATCTATGTTGTACTTTTTTTTTTCTTTTTAGAAAAAAGGTATATGTATCATATGTCTTTTTTTTAAATTTTTTTATTATCATCATAATCTTCTTTATATTACATTGGATTACATATAACTTTACAGTGTATTACATAGCTTTTTCAAAAGGGAATGCCATGCATGTCAGTCAGTACAGAGACATTAATCTCCCCACTTCAACATTCAATATCTTTTCTATGTTTTCCCCAATCATTATTATTATTATTCTAATTATTTTTTAAAACAGTCAATCGCTATTTCTCATTTTGCTTGTAAAAATACTTTGTCCATCATGAAATACTTCTCAGACCAATCCAGTTGAGAATACTATACATGTCATCATCAACAGTTAATAAGCCATATCTGTTTCTCACTAATGTCCTGCCTCTCTAATGTTCACTTGCTATCTTTCTCTATCCTCTTCTCTTCACTTACCCCAATATATCATATGTCTTGTTCTAGGGTAGGGTTTCTCAGTCTCAACACTACTGACATTTTGGGATGGATAATGCTTCAGAGGTTGGGAGCGGTTTCTCTGTGCATTATAAGATGTTTCACAGCATCCCTGGCTTCTGCATAGCCACTAGATTCCAGTAGCACCCTCTATCTAGTTGTGACAACCAAAAATGTTTCCAGACATTGCCAAATGTACCCCAAGGGAGGAAAGGATGAAATTGTCTCTGGATGAGAAACCACTGTTCTAGGGAACTTTGTGTAAACTCAAGCTGGTGTAGATTTTAGACTCTTAAAACTTGAGGGGGAAATATTTCTCAAAATCTAGGAAAACATCTTATAGAAGCAGCCAGAGATATTAATAGGCATAATTTCTTAGAAAATAGTAATGTTGGTGACTAGATGACTCAATGTTTCAATGACCAAAGCTGCCTATACTGCAGATGATGCTAAGATATCCATTGATACAGAAATTACCTGCTGGTTTTGCCCTTCAGGATAGAAGATCTAGGACACACAAAAAACTTCTCAAAATTTACTCCCTGTATTTATTTGGTTTGTTTCTGAAAAAGGATCTCAGAGTTTAAGGCAGTGTAGTGTATGGGGACACTCTTGTTTTGGTTATGAAGCTTATGTGCTACTTCTGTCTTTGCTTGTAAGTCATGTCAGAGATGGATGTGAAGCAGCGGAAGAAGATGTTCAAGAAAGTTCGAGGGAAAGAAGTTTATATGACTATGTCCTACAGCAGAGGAGACCCCCTCCTCCCACCCAGGCTTCAGCACAGTGTACATTACGGGAATGACCCTCCAATGCACTACTCCCAGGCAGCTGGCAATGTTATATCTAATGAACATTTTCACCCTCAACATTCATCTCAGAGACAAGGTCGGGGATATGGGATTCCCAGGTAAGATTGAACTGACTTCTAAGGTAATGCACATCTCTGTTTAGGGCTTGGAAGTAATTCCTGGATAGAATTAAAGTAGAATTGAGAAGTATCTTAACAATTTACATTTCTTTTATAACCTTTGCTTAAAAGACATGTGGAGGATGGAACTGATATATTGGGTTGTCAGAAAAGTCATGGTGTATTTTTTTCTATGCAAAAATGTGTCATGACTTCTAACAACACAATATATGTAAATTCTTTTCAAACAAATTCATAGGTAGATTTGTGTTCTCATAGTCTAGGGAAATACGAGGCAGTTGAAGAGATGCTCTAAGATGCAGCGCCCTCAAGATGAGTGTCCACATTCCATGTGGCTCTTTTATCTATTAATAAAGGGTAGGCCACTCTCCATTTTACAAGATGACAGGTGAAAAAGCTGAGAAGCCAGATATTATGGAGAAGAAACCTGATGCCATGAAGGCTGATGCCAGTGGGAAGATTAAAAAGCCCAAGAAGGAGAAGCCCCACTGCAGCTGAAACAAGGTCCTAGTTCATGGCATTGGCAGGTACTCCCACTCTGCCATGTGTTCCAGGAAGGCCATGTAAAGAGGAAATACTCAGCCACTAAATACAGGATTGAAAATAAAAAGGAAAAAGTTCTTGTCACTGTCACAAAACCTGTTAGTGGGTACAAGAATGGTGGTACCTAGGCAGCTAAACTTCATAAAATGCCTAGGTATTATACTGAAGATGTATCTTAAAAGCAATTGAACCATGGCAAAAATAACTTTCAGTGAGCATGTCAGAAAGCTGTGAGCTAGCATTATTCCTGGGACCATTCTGATCACCCTCATTGGACACCACAGAGGCAAGAGAGTGGTTTTCATGAAGTAATTAAGTAGTGTCTTTCTACTTGTGACTGGATCTCTGACTCTCAATCAACTTCTACTGCATAGAACACACCAGAAATTTGTCATCACCACCTTCACAAAAATTGATATTAGCAAAGTAAAAAATTCTAAAACATCTTACTGATGCTTACTTCAAGAAAAAGAAGCCATGGAAGCCCAGACACCAGGAAGGTGAGATCTTCAACACAGAGAAGGAGAAATACAAGGTTACTGAACCAGTGCAAGGTTGATCAGAAAGTTGTGGACTTGGAAATTTTACCCAAAATCAAAGCTGTTTCTCATCTCCAGGGCTACCTGCGATCCACATTTACCCTTACAAAAGGAGTTTATCCTCACAAATTGCTGTTCCAAATTTCTTTCCAAAAGATTAATTAAATAATAAATATTAATAATAAATGGGTAGACCTAATGTCAGTATTGGGGAGAGCAAAGATCTTTCTAGTTGAATCCTTTTAGAAAGGCGTGTTAATTCTTTCTAACTGTAGAGGCTGATTACACAGGCATTAATGAGTAGAGTTCAGTCTTCTTTTTCTTTTATTCTTAGGGATTCACCTCGCTTTATAAATAAGCACAACATGGTGGGCCCTAAGGTTGGTTTTTACCCTGGCCCAGGTAAAAGGTGCTGTCAGAGCTATGATAACTTCTCCTATAGAACTCGGTAAGTATATTAAGTATTGAAAATCAGAGAAATTAGGTAACCCTGGTTTCATTGCTGAGCAATGATATTATCTTATTTTTTTAAAGTGTCAACTTTGAGATGTTCTGTTATTTAGAAATTAGAACCAAATTATCATATCTTATTATTTTTCTCCTTTTTATTCTCTAAACCACTTCAGTTCCTTTAGACGTAGTCACCGCCAGATGCGCTGTATGAATAAGGAGTGCCAATATGGCTTTGTCCCAGAGAATGGACAGATGCCCAGGGGCTTGGAAGAAACTATTACTTACTATGAAGTGGAAGAAGGGAATGAGACTGCCTATCCAACTTTACCTGTGAGTGGATCAAACAGAGCTGTTTACTGGATGTAAAGACAATGTGGATAAATTCATTTTTTAAGAGATTTTTGCTATAGGGCACATGAGCTTGCTGGAGAGACAGAGACAGAAAGTGAGAAGTCTAAGGGGGGGGAGGGGTAGCCACACCACAATCCTTTCTCCTCCATTCTCCTCAGGATTTTGGGCATGCATGCACACACACCTGGCAAGAGTTTAAGCCACTGAGTCTGGGACTTGAACTGTGGTCAACTACATGGGAATCCAGCAACGTAACCATTATGCCATATGCTGGTACTGGTGTGGGTGAATTTTAACTGTATGAATACTCAAAGTCTCTTCTGGAAAACATGAAGTTTTATCTTAGAACTTTCAAAAATGAAATAGATTTTTAAAACATATTCTTTTTTTAAATTATTATTTTATTTAACTTTTATTTACTTATTTTTTAATTTGACCAGAGAGGGACAGAGCAAGAGGGAGAGACAAAGTGAGAGAGAGAGAGAGAGGGAAAGTGAGAAAGCAAGCTGCCAGGTCCAGGACTGGAACTGTGGTCCACCATGTGGGAGTCCAGCACCCTTAGCCACCAGGCCACCTGCTGGCCACAAAACATATTCTTAGAGAAGGGGCAGGCAAATATTCTTTTATATATAGTATGGGCTAATATTTCCGTCTCTTTTTTTTTGGAGAGGTTTTTGCTATAGGGCGTGTGTGCTCACCAGAAAGACAGAAAGCGAGAAATCATCCCCTAGGGGGGATGGCCACACCATAATCCCTTCTCCTCCATTCTCCTCTTGGGATCTTGGGCACACACGCACCGTTCCCGGCATGAGTTTAAGCCACTGGGTCCAGGACTCGAACCGCAGTCGACTACATAGGAGTCCATTGACATAGCCATTTGTCTAACTGCTGGTCCTTATTTTTAATTTTTTTAGAGAGATTTTTGCTATAGGGCATGTGCACTTGCTGGGAAACAGACATAAAGCAAGAAATCATGCCCTAAAGGGGATAGCCACACTGTAGTCTCTTCTCCAGTCTCCTCTCAGAATATTGTACACAGATACGCACGTGCCTGGCGAGAGTTTGAAGTCACTGGGTCAGGAATTAGAACTGTGGTTGACCACATGGGAGTCCAGCACCTTAGCCAATATACCACCTGCTGGTCCCTATCTTTTGTTTTCTTGGTCATCAGTTCTTCACATTTTTTTAAATCCTTATATATTTTAATTATTTTATACATTCAATCATTGTATATCACTGCAGCTTGTAAAATCAGTTATCCAAACCCAATATGAATGCACTTTAAGCTATCATACACATTATCATCAACAGACAGGCCTCCATTTTTGTGGCCCTTGAATGTCTTGCCTCTCTGTTTTCTGTTTAATTCCTTTTCTCTCACTCTCCCTTTTCCCCCATCCTCTTCCCACTATGTCCAGTGTCTGTAACCATTTTCCACACTTCTATATAATCTTTCAGTTTCTGCCATAGAGTGTGGACAGTGGGTATATATTAAGTAGAGAACTACAATGTCTCCCTTTCATAGCCTGGCCTGCTTCACTCAGCAGTGAATCTTCCATATTCGTCCACTTTCTATTAAATGCCAGGGTCTTGTTGCTCTTTATGGTTGAGTAGTATACCATAGTATCTATGTGCCACACTCTTCAACCCATTCATCTGTTCTTGGACATTTGTGTTGGTTTCATGGCTTAGCAATTGTGATTAATGTTGTAATAAAAATATAGATGTGCAAACACTTTTCCAACGTAACTTTTCCCTATCCTTTGGGTAGATACCCAGGAGTGGAATTGCTGGATGATATATATGGTAGTACTATTTGAGGAATCTTTGTTCTCCACAGTGGCAGTACTAGTTTACATTCCCACCAACAGTGTAGGAGAGTTCCCTTTTCACCACAGCCTTGCCAGCACTTACCATTTTAAAAAAAATCTTAGCCAGTCTGAGTAGGGTTAGGTGGTATCTCATGGTTTTGATTTGCTTCTCCCTTATAATGAGGGATGTTGAACATTTTTTCATATGCTAATTGACCATTCATATGTCTTCCTTAGTGAGTTGTTTGTTCAATTCATTTTCCCATCTTTTAATTGGGTTTGATTTTTTTGGGGGGGAGGAATAAGTTGCTTGAGTTCTTTGTGTATTCTGGTTATCAGTCCCTTATGTGAGGCATAGTTTACAAAAATATTCTCCCATTGTTGGGAACCAGCAGTTAGCGTAATGGCTATGTCGCTGGACTCCCACGTAGTCGACCGTGGTTCGTGTCCCGGACCCAGTGGCTTAAAACTCACGCCGGTCGCGTGTGCGTGCATGCCCAAGATCCCGAGAGGAGAATGGAGGAGAAGGGATTGCGGCGTGACCATCCCCCCTGGGGGGTGATTTCTCGCTTTCTGTCTCTATGTCGCTCTCTGTCTGTCTGGCGAGTGCACGCGCCCTACAGTGAAAATTTCTCCAAAAAAAAAAATATTCTCCCATTGTGAGTATTGTTGATTCACACTAATTTACTGTGTTTTTTGCTGTGGAGAAATTTCTTAATCTGATGTAATCCCACTTGTCTATTTTTGGGATTATTGCCAGCACTTTGTGGGTCTTATTTAAGACTCATATTTCTTTGCCTACTTGAATATCTCCCAGATTCTCTCCAGCGTTTTCCACCAGTAGTTTTATAGTTTGAGGGTCTTAGGTTTAGATCTTTGATCCACTTTGAGTTGAGTTTTGTCAATGGTGAGAGATAACAGTTCAGATTAATCTTTCTGTAGGTGGATGCCCAATTTTTCCAGAACCTTTTGCTAAAGAGGTTTTCCTTTTCCCACTGGATTGACTGGTACCCTTTGTCAAGAATCAATTGGCTGTATATTTTGGGATTTATTTCTGGTGTCTCTATTCTGTTCCATTCGTCCACATAAATACTTTTGTGCCAATACCAGGCTGTTTTGATTATCACAGCTTTGTAATGTACTTTGGGTTTAGGGAGTGAGATGCTGCCCTCTCCACTCTTTTTGCACAGGATTGCTTTGGCAATATGGGGTCTTTTATGATTCCAGACTAATTCTATGATTATCTTTTCTAGATCTATAAAGAAAGTCTCTTGTAATTTTAGAGGTTGCATTAGATATGTAGATTAATTTTGGTATAATTGCCATTTTGATTGTGTTAATTCTCCCAATCCAGGAACATAACATGGAATGGAATGTCCTTGTACATTTTTGTGTCATTTTCATTCATTCTTTTTTTTTTTTTTTTTTTTTTTTTACAGGGGCACTCAGACTTCCAAAAAAAAAAAAGCGAGAAATCACCACCCCCCCCGCCCCAGGGGGGATGACCATGCCTCAATCCCTTCTCCTCCATTCTCTTCTTGGGATCTTGGGCACACACATATGCACCCCGCATGAGTTTAAGCCACCAGGTCTGGGACTCGAACCGTGTTCAACTGTATGGGAGTCCAGCGACATAGTTATTACGCCAACTGCTGGACCCTCTTTTTAAAGATTTTCATAGATTTTTCTTGTAGAGGCCTTTGACTTTCTTGGTTAGATTTTTCTCTAGATATTTTGTATATTTTGTGGGAAAGGTAAGTGTGATTACTTTCTTCAGTTCTACCTCTGTCTGCTTATTGTTTGTATATTGACATGCTGTAGATTTTTGTAAGTCAATTCTGTATTCTACTTTATCCATTTATTTGAGAATTTTTTTTGTGGATACCTTTGGGTCTTCTATGTATACAATCATGTCATCTGCAAATAGATAATCTCAGTTCTTGTTTCCCTATTTGAATGCCTTTTATTTCATTCTCTTCTCTGATTTAATTGGCTAGGACTTCCAGCACTATGTTGAAAAGCAGTGGAGAAAGTGGGTAGTGTCATCTTGTACCAGATTTTTTATTTTTGTGGAAAAACTTTAAGCTTTTCCCCATTCAGTATAATGTTAGTGATTAATTTTTCATAGATGGCTTTTATTATGCTGAGAAATGATCCTTCTATGCTGATTTTGCTGAGTCTTATGAATGGATATTGTATTTTGTCAAATGCTTTTTCTGCAACAATTGAAATTATCATACGGTTTTTATCTTTCTTTCTGTTAATACAGTGTATTAAGTTTAAGGCTTTGCATATGTTCAGTCATCCTTGCATCTCTGAAATAAAGTCTACCTGATCATGATGAAGAATGTTTTCTATATGTTACTGGATTTACTAGTATCATGTTGAGAATTTTTGCATCTATATTCATCAGAGATATTGGTCTGTAATTTTCCTTTCTTGATATATCCTTACCTGTTTTGGAAATGAATGTGATGGAAGATTCATAAAATGAATTCGGGAGGGTCCCTTCCTTTTGGATCTTTAGAAATAATTTGAGAATAATGGGGGTTACTACTTCTTTAAAAATTTTGGAGAATTCAGAAGTGAAGCCCTCAGGGCCTGGATTTTTCTTAGTTGGAAGGTTATTTATTACTGATTCAATCTCATTGCTTATTATGTGTCTAATAAGGCTTTCTATGTCCTCCTAATTCAATCTTGGTAGACTATATGTGTCCAGGAATTTGTCCATCTCTCCATGTTCTCTTGTTTATTGGTATATAGTTGCTCATAGTATCCTCTAATGATGTTTTGTATTTCTATTGTGTCTGTTGTAATGTTGCTTGTTTCATTATGTACTTGATTTATCTGGTTTCTTTCTCTCTTCTTAATTAGTCTAGCTAATGGTGTGCCAATCTCGTTCATCTTTTCAAAAAGCCAGCTTTTGGTTTCATTTATTTTCTGTGTAGTTCATTTATTTTCTATTTCATTTATTTCTCCTTGAATCTTTATTATTTCTTTTCTCCTGGTTTTTTTTTTTTTTTTTTTTTTTTGATTTTTGTTACTTTCCCAATTCCCTGAAGCATGATGTTAGGTTTTCCATTTGCCACCCATCTATCTTTTTCTTATGCATACTAATTGCAATGAACTTCCTTCTTTTGACTGTTTTTGTGGTGGTGTCCCAAAGAT